TGTGATCATTTCACTGCAGAGAACAGATGCATGCTGTTGGCACCTCAGAGCCAGCAAGAGCTGCATGAAGCTCGTATCAGCAGGAATTCACTTTCACATACATCACTTGGGGACATGAATGTGCAATGTGACAGACCCATCAGTACCAATAATTTATCTAATTTACTACGGCAAGGTGGATACCTGGTTTTCTCTGAAAGTCAACAGGTCAGTGGCTTCATCAAGCAGCTCATGCTGTTCCCAGTAGTGCTACGTTCTTACTAATAATTTAATCTTGTATTTGAAGTTCAGTTCCTAGCAGTTTACCTCCTCTTTCTCATTTTCTCTCACTTCTACTTAAAAATATAATGGCCCATTTCTGCAAAATTAACTGCAATTTCATGGATCACTACAGCAGGAACAAGTTTTATCCGTAATCCATCTATTTGTTCCCCAGAATGCAAACTGACTTGATGAACAGTTCTGTGTCCTATGTAAATAATCCCAGTTCTAATTGAGAGTGCTGTATTTTCAGTGAAGAAGGGGGAGGGAAAAGAAGATTGTTTCTCTGCCTTTGACTTTCTGATAATTGTTTCAGGATACTTCATTTAAATTTATTTTTCAATTAAAATTATGGTGCTCTGCTTGTGCTTCCTTCTTTCTTTTCCTCATAAAAAGTACTATACAGAATCTGGATTCTCATATAACATGCCAGGTTACTGCCTAAAATACACGATTCCTCTATCTAGTGGATACCAGCTATCATACGGGCAAAAGCAGAACATGACTCTTGTTTTTCCATCAGTGTGTCACTAATGTGCAAAAAGAAATGCTCCACAATAGGATGAGCAACTGGAAGTTCATTTTCTTTGGCCCCTTCTATGTTCAGATTCTCTTCAGGGATTACCAGCAGGTGGAATAATTTATATGAACTGGATGTTTGTAGTGTGGATACATTTCCAGCATAGAATCATAGAATAGTTAGGGCTGAAAAGGACCTTAAGATCATCTAGTTCTAACCCCTGCCATGGGCAGGAACACCTCCCACTAAACCATGTCACCCAAAGCTCGATTCAACCTGGCCTTGAACACTGCCAGGGATGGAGCACTCACAGCTTCCCTGGGCAACCCATTCCAGTGCCTCACCACCCTCACAGTAAAGAACTTCTTCCTTATATCCAATCTAAACTTTCCCTGTTTAAGTTTAAACCCATTACCCCTTGTCCTATCACTACAGTCCCTAATGAATAGTCCCTCCCCAGCATCCTTGTAGCCCCCCTTCAGATACGGGAAGGCTGCTATGAGGTCTCCACACAGCCTTCTCTTCTCCAGGCTGAACAGCCCCAACTTTCTCAGCCTATCTTCATACAATTTCATTTCTTTGCACTATAAAGATGTTAGATTGTAATAATCAAGAATTTCTTGCAGGTTTAGAGCTAAAAACAATGTCTGGAGATTATGCTGAGAATCAAGGTAACAGCTTTTATATGCTGTTACAACCTCCCTAAACTACAAAGTTTCTCAAACAATTCGATTAATTATGAAATAAAAAAAGTTACTTAAATGCCATTGGTAAAGATGTGATAAACACTGAGTCTTGTCTTTAACTATAAACTTTATTGGACTACCTACTTGAAGCCATTAAGTTAGCATAACTCAACCTCTCCAGAAGGAATAAACTTGCATTATCTAAATTATCACATAGTAGTTTTAGACAAAAAGAAGGAAGTCTTCTTCCATACTGTGCATTAAGTAAATTGTGGCATTTATTGCCATAGAGTGTAGTGAAGGGCAAAAGCATAAACAGACAAATGTACAGAAAACAAGTGGCTCTTAAATATAATTGCTCAAATATAATCTCTAGCTCAACAAGTCCCTAGGTTGTTGCAGCAAACAGTTCCTGGAAGGAATGTAAAGATGAGGCTCACTTTGTTTTTTTACAACCATTTCCTATAAACAGATATTACTGTTACCCTCCACTAGAGGACACTGGGCCAGGTGAACATTTTGCCTTAGTTGCAGGGCTCTGAAGTGCATTTTATGGCATCTTCAGTATGATTTCTTGGAAAATCAAAATCCAAAACCAACTTGTTTCTACCAGTGGCATCTGTCAGAACTGCAGGATGAGCAAAGCTGCTGGCTGAAACTGCTTCAGCACTTGCTTCCTAACTGATAAACGCCTGAGGTGCTGCTTAGAAACTTTATTTGTCTGGACTATCATTGTACCAAGCAGCTACCTTAATTACCCTATTCTCATATTAGTACTCATATAACTAGGAAGTTGTACACATAGATTCTAACTGCCTTCTCTGGTGCAATTCCCTTCATTAATCTAGGATAATATAGTATATGAGTGGTGTTCCCCAGGGCTCAATATTGAGGCCAGTCTATTTAATATATTAGTGATCTAGATGAGGGGATCAAGTGCACCCTCAGTAAGCTTGCAGATAACTCTCAGGTGGGTGGGAGTGTTGATCTGCTTGAGAGAAGGAAGGCTCCACAGAGTGATCTGGACAAGCTAGATCAATGGCAAATGCCAACTGTATGAGGTTCAACAAGGACAAGTGCTGGGTCCTGCATTTGCTCCATGCAATGCCACAGTCTTGGGGAAGAGTGGCTGGAAAGCTGCCTGGCAACAAAAGACCTGGGCTTGTTGGTCAAAAGGCAGATGAATATGTGCCCAGATGGCCAAGATGGCAAACAACATCCTAGCTTCTATCAGAAGTGTGGCCAGCAGGACTAAGGAAGTGATTGCCCGCCTGTACTCAACACTGGTGAGGCAGCACCTTGAATACTGTGTTCAGTTTGGGCCCCTCACTGTAGGAAAGACACTGAGGTGCCAGAGTATGTCCAAAGAAGGAGCAGTGAAGCTGACAAAGGGCCTAGAGCACAAGTCTTATGAGGGGCAACTCAGGGAACTGGGGTTATTTAGCCCAGAGAAAAGGAGGCGGAGGGGAGGCCTTACAACTACTAGCAAGGAGGTTGTAGCACGGTGGGTGTTTGTCTCTTCTCCCAAGTAGTAAGCAGTAGAACAAAAGGAAATGGCCTCAAGTTGCATGAAGTGGGGTTTAAATTGGGTATTAGAAAAAAACTTCTACACTGAAAAAGCTATCAAGCATTGGAACAGACTGCTCAGGAAAGTGGTTAATTTGCCATCCCTGGAGGTATTTAAAAGATGTGTAGATGTGCCACTCTAGAGACATGGTTTAGTGGTGGATTTGGCAGTGCTAGGTTAATGGTTGGACTTGATGATCTTAAACACTGTTTCCAACCCAAATGATTCTGCGATATCATACACTTAAAATTCTGGAGAGAGAAACAAAGACAGAAATAATTTAATTTTCTATTTTTCATCTGTGTAAGACAGCCAACATTGGGATTCCATGGTAGCAAAATTAATGAACAGGAAGATAGAAGAGACTGCTTTCTGCAATAACTTTTTGGTCCCATTCAGCTGTCCTTAACCAAAAATACAGCAACCATGAAAGACCCAAAGGAAAAATGCAGAGAATAAGAGTAGCCTCTCTTTTTAGCAGGACTACAGTTTGACACCAAACTAGAAGGAAAGTTGCATGCTTCTACTCAGTAATAGCTGCCACAATAGTTAAGTGCTTTGACACTTACACATTGAAAACACCATATTTAGGTGTTTCACAATGCAAAGTCTACCAAGAACACATAGAGCACTAGCAAGTAAAAGAAAAAATGGATAATTTTTTTTCCAGTAAGATTGTTTAAACATAACCTAACACTTTCAACTATTAAACCACAGTTTCAGCTGACATGGTGCTGCTGTGATCACACCTATAATGAGATCCAAATGAAAATGTCAGATCCAGTGAAAGTTACGTTACAAGAAAAGGCCAGTATCTGCAGCTAGGGAGAAGGGAAGGAAATGTCTCATGTCAATCTACTGCAACCCTTGTGTTTACACGTTTGTTGAAGGGCTCTAAACAATAGAACAGAGGTGAAACAAGCACAGAGATGAAGGAATTAAGAGCTTCCATTTGTCTGTGAATTCCTCTGCTGAACTGTAACAACAGTGTTCCTAGACTGATCTCCTTGGATATGTCACCTTTCACAACTGGTATACTCAATACAAGGTGCATTTTAGTCAATGCAGTAATAGCATAAAAAGGGAATGCAGCCTCCAAGTGATTTAGATTATGCTTGTGAATTGTTATTTCACAGCTCAATGAGATGTTCCTGTTCTCCTCCTTTTATTAGTTAGCATCAGGCTGGGTAGATTTCTGTGCAATTCTGAGCTGAGTCATCAGAGAAAGGTCCGCCTTCATCATGTATCAATTTGATTTCAGGCCCTGACAAACACCCAGCCTCAAGAAAGGAGACAATCTATAATACGCTTTATGAGAACAAAAGGTAAAAATATTAAAATTCATAAAATGTGTTTGTTTTCCATCTGAGCCCCCTCCCCACAGACCCACTTATGCCAGCTACTACAGTACAGATACAGGGATATTTTCTTTTAATGCAAGGACAGGCATGAATTTCAAGCAAAAGATCAAAATGGTACCTTTTAAATTTTTTAAAGAATAGAGCTAATTAACCTTTTTATCAAACTACATACATCTTCAAATGACTTAGATGAGAAATATATTGGTTTAATTAAGATTTCACAGGGAGAGACAGTTGCAAACACTTGGAACTGAGAAAAAGTGGAATCTTTATGAGGAGGATGCTTTATGTTTTACAACTCTCTGTGTCTGTTTGTTGTTTGCACTTCAAATGGAGTCCATTTTTATCTGTCTCTCTCCTGCTGAGAGAAGCCAATTTTATAATGTGTTTCAATGAACCTATTAAAAACTACAATCATGAGATTCCTCTTTTGCCTTTGTATGTTTCTCTCTCCCTCTCTCACAGAGCTGCACTGTGACATCAGTTTATAGCAGCATACATTGATTTGCTTTGTTTTACAAGGCTATTAGATAATCCTTCTGCAATCATAACTTGCTTTAACACAAAACTTACTGTATGTTTTCCTTTCCTGGGTCCCCCCTCACTTTGATTTTTGTAGGTCTAGGATTTTGATGGGTAGGCCATGCTTTGATTTGATTCTATGATTCTTTATTCTGTTTGTTTAGTTTTAGTAAATGGTGAAAAGTTCAGGAGTAAAAGCTTGAAGTTCTATATGAATAGAAAAGAAAGAACAACATGAACAATACCAGCATATACTTCCCTCTCACGGGGGGAGCTCAGGAATATTTCAGAGGTGAAAAACGAATATACTACAATGACACAGCATTACAAGTATTTTGGGGTCAATACTACACAGGACTTCACCATCAACAAATCATATATATATATATATATATATATATATATTCAGTTGCAGTTATTTATCCAATACCTCAAGACATTAAAATAGTAGGATGTGCTAGATATAAAATATGTCAAAATAGTTGAATCGTAACTAAAACAAGTTAGTAGCCTAAAAGATCCTCATCTGACAAGGGGAGGGAAAAAAAACAAAACCAAACCCAAACTGAAATATAAAATTATGTTCGCATTTAAATAATATTCAAATTAAGCCACTGAGACTAAAACGGCCTGAAGCCTCAATACAGTCATGCATTAATTTCCTTTTGTTTTTGTTTGTCAGTTAATGTCAGACAAATCATGTCATATAAATGAATACCGTTTAGGTCTTAGTTTTAGTTGACAAGACATCAACATTTAATTCTTGCATTCTTTGTTTCTGTTCTTGAGCCAGTTCTTTGTGATTAGTGCTACAATGCTGCATATATAACTGACTTTCAGTTTGTTTACAAGATTGACACCTCTAATGCAAAACAAAAAACACTTTTAGCTTAATAGAGTATTTTATCTTAGGCCAAATGGAGAGTTGTGTTTTGCCCAAAATATTCTTCTTTATTTTAAGGTGGCTTTACCTTTTTCTGTCTCAAAGTAATTTTAAGATGAAGACCTTGTTTAAGCTGAAAAATCAGAACATTTCATGTTCGAAGCACTTAGACCATTAAAATTGGCAAAAGACTAATCTAATAGAAATTCACAAAACAGCTGTATCCTTTTCTGTAACTTTTTGGACAAAAGATATTATTAAAAACACATCTTTCAATATTAGATATTTCACTATTAACAATAAAATTTTTCCTGTTTCTATTTGTAATACCTGTGCTCTTTTGAGGGACACAGAACCCAAATAATCTGTGTGCTGTTCAAAGTCATCAATAATTAGGATTTGAAACTTTTTTCAGCTGCTTTTGAGCTGCAGGTTGAAAAAATAATGTACCATTTCGCCAAGATCTGAACCATACTCAAGGAAAGGGAATCCCATCCAGATCCTCAAACAAGGAAGAAAACTGTCTTCAAGAAATCAGGATATGTGGACCTCACTGACTCAAGAACTCAAGTCATTTATGAATCTGTTTCAGCCACAGCAAATGGTCCTTTCCTGGCTTGCAGTCCAGCTGACAGAATTTAGGTTATGTTTCTAGGCTATGATTTTAACTGGTCTTAGAGTGATGGCTGCAGGTAGAAATTTCACTTGATGTAAATTCCTTTACTTTTCTCTGGAATGCCTGGTGCTAATGGCTGAAACTCAGTACCAGGCAGCCCATGGGCCAGGGCTAGCTGTGTTTCCTAAGGGGATCTCCTGCTCTCCAGTAGGAACCGGTTTTCCAATTGCCCATGTCCCTTCTCCCCCAGTGGCCCTGCTCTAATCTGGCAACCCTTAGGCAGGAGGAAAAACTAGAGCTCTGAGGGCAGGGATAAGGTGGGAGGAAAACAGCTTTTCAGGAGGCCAGGCCCCAGCAGCAACAAGATGGGCATAGGGCAGGGTAACTCTTGCCCCAGTGTAATTAGTGTGTGGAGTTAATGAACAATAGGGTTGGCATACGTGAGGACACGGGAGGACTCGCGCCGCAGACCTCGGCATCCTATTTCCTCAGGGAGCCTCAACAGCAGTGACTGCGGGGTAACCTCTGCCAATCACCTGCAAGCACCCACCCCCTTTCTCTCCTCATCCAATCAGAGTGCTTCCAACCAACGCTTCCTTCCCCCATAGGGTGCTTCTGTTCAGAGGGGCTGTCAATCACTCCTCAAACATCACCTCTCCCTGGCTTCCCGCCCCTGCTGCGAGGGACGGGAGACCCCTGCCGTTTTCGGTGAGGGTGTTAGGAGGAGGCGCTAGCAGGGGTGTGAGGGAGTGGTTAGTGTGGTAACCCCGCAGTGTCTTTTCAGCCTTTCTTCACTCGAGGAGAAAGCCATAATTACAGTTTTATTTTTGTTTTGATGGTATTTATGTGATCCATTAATATTTTTCCATCTGAAAGAGCTGTAACACCACTGTTGATCAGACAAATCATTATTGCTTTTGGTGGTAGTCCATAGTCAGTCTGTCCAAGGCCACTGGCTTCCCGTGGTGAACCCGTGCTAGTGACTAAACTGATGCAGTAACTGAATAGGCAAATGTGCCTTTTTTGTGTTCTTGTAAGAATTAGATTTTCATACCTCCTTTCTCACATCTTGAAGACAGAACCTGAGGTGACACTAATCACAGAATCTGATGTAATCTTGGAATCTTTCTTGTATCCACTCCCCCTTGGCCACAGGCACAAGGTGGTCTTTGTATTTGCTTGTCTTACCTTATAGAGATACAAGCACATCTTTGCGTGGGTGCACTGTATGTATACACCCATGGACTCCGTCGCATCAAACAGGATGTGCAGCAATAGAGGTGCCCCACAAGTTTAAATGTAAGTAGCTTATGACCACACCTGTCACCCTCTATTAGAGAAGGCGGCACATTTTAGGAGACCTTCAATGGCTTCCTCCTGGAGATCACTACTTGTGTCCAAAGGGACCAGTGCTTTCCAGAGAGATATTTTAAATGAGTGTTGAGCAAGTTATGGGGTGCCCCAGCACATGACATGCAGCTGGAGCAGCAAACTGCTGTGGTATGCAGAGAAACTGCTCTAGAGCAACTGTAACCCTTGCAGTAGTGGAGTAAAACCACGCTAAGCAGAGTCCCACACCCAACTTGGTAAGCTGCTGTGCCTCTGAGTTCCTGCGTGGTTTGTGGTTTTCACCCTGCTGACTTGATTACCAGCATTTCATGAGGGAGAGATGAAGATGCCTTGAAGACTTGTGTGTCCCACATGACTGCAGACTTAAGCCCTTGCTAAGCTCTTGCGCTGAAGACAGGCGAGTGGGTTATCTTGTTATGAGACTCATGACATTCCCCACTGCTTTGTCTCAACACAGATCCTGAAACAGCAGAGTGCAACTACCTGCCTCAAAGGTACAGATCTGCTTGGCTGCTTGCTTCTTTCATTATGAAGTTTTAAGGGTAGATGCATTGGCTAAATTAACATCACATTTTCTGCAGAGTTAAGCAAGTAAGAGCTTAGCTGCAAGGCTCAAGATTTCATGTGTTTTCCTTTATGATGCAGGTGCATCAAGTTTTAATCCTTGTCAGTGGGAGTACCAGGACTGTGCTCAGAAGGCGGGTATTTATTGGAACAGAGGAAAGAAAAATAATAAAAGGGTGGTTTGGTTGTTTGTTTTTTTGTTTTTGTTTTTCAGTCAGAAGCACAAACAAAGAAATATCCAGATTTCCCAGCAACTTTAAGGGTGCTCTAACTGTTGTGTCTCTGAGACACCCAGTGTGATCATTCCAGCTGAGGCAAGATGCCTAGAAAGAAAAATGCTTCTGGCAACTGTATATCTGGCATTGTTAGCCCTCCTTTTGATGTCTCCAGTGGAAAGTGGTGGGGTCAAGAGGGGTCAGGCATGAATGTAATTTCTCCTCAATTGCTTTTTAATGCTCTTATAAAGCTTTTTAATGCATTGTAAGCATAATACGCGGTAGTGTTACGGGGTGTTTCTTTAGAATGGAGTGCTATAGAGCTGAATTTCTTGTGTGTTTGCATGCATAGAGAAAGTTCGTAATGCCTGACTTGTCTTGTAGTTAACCTGTAAGCAAGGTCTCCAAAACATGATTTAGTAGCACCCTATCAGCACAAAATTTTCTTAGAAAAAATTATAATCTAAATTCTCCTCAGCAGCAGGAGAAGCTGTCACATTTATATTTGTCTGGAGAAAAAACGTTTTATATTGACTGAGTTTTTAGTAAACAAGGCGTGGCAGGAAGAGTTGGCTTGCACCCCAGTTATGTTTTGGCATGGAAGATTGTAGCTGATGCACCTAGAAATGCAGTCTTACAATTGTAAGTAGAAGGAAGGAGAGGCCCATACTTTAGCCTCTGCTCCCAGGTTTCTGAATATGACATAAGCCCTGGCGATGATGTGGTGGTGAAATGAGTTGTGGAAAAGTTACGGAGAAAACATGTTCCCTTAGTAGTGGCTCAGTGAAAAAAAATGCTGGTGGTGTCCCAGTGAAGCAATTCCCCTTACTTTCCTATCTAGTGATACTTACTCCTGTTTCTTTCTTGCACCCAAACTTGACAGTCCCACAGATAAGAGATTAAACACAAAATAGCACTGTGTGTCATTCCCATTTTTATCAAGAAAGCAGAATAACCTGGAGATGGATTGGTAGACAGTGTGAAATGTGTACATATAAACTCAGATTGGTTTTGTTGTCTGAATTCTGAATTTTTCATCTTTACCACTCCCCTTTGCACACGTCCTGAAATTAAGATTGAGAGATCTGCCTGAGAACACAAAATGGTTCTTTCACAAGATATAATTTTGTACAGCTCCCAGAGAACAAAGGCTTTTCTGCTCAAGTTAGCTGGGTGTCCTGATCTCTTACACCTTCTTACATTAGTTTGCAGAAGTTAGTGTGTCTTCAAGCTTGTCTAGTATTTATAAGTTACAGCCATTACACTAATAAAAGACATCACTTTTCGAACTTTGTCATCTTCTACCTATTTGCAGTTTTTTTGTTCCCACACTTATCTTCTACACTTGCAACCATATACCAGTGCCCTCTGTTTTTGCAACAGCAGTGCGGATGTAATGTCCTCTGTACAATGTTATACTTTGCCCTCTCCATCAATTTGTAGCTTGACAGTAGCTCTCTGGCCACAAACACAGTATAGGAAAGTTTGGCAGGCAAGGGGTTCCTGTTAAGCCACACGTCTGGAACTACTGCTGTAGGCAGTCTCTTCTGGTTTACTTTTACTGCCCGACATAATGGAAATTATCTTCATTCCTTTCACTGTGTTTCTTCCCTTAGCAGTATTTTCACTTTAAATTCTCCTCTTAGTGGAGCTGTAAGATACATACCATAACATACTCACTGGCAAGTTCAGTATC